ATATATATATATATACACACACACACACAGTATATATTGCACATAACTAGCATAAACTACCCAGGTTGTGGGACTGGTTATTGCACAGGTAGTGACATTGAGATTGAATTGTGATGGTAAGGTAGATCAAAGATACTGAACCATACATTACACAGCCACATAATACATTAGCAATAAAAATATTAGGTATCAGAAGCTAATATTAGTCATATTAGTTGTCACAAATGTGGCTTGGTGTAAAGTTATTGCCATGTGTTCAGTGTTATTTAATGAGTTCAGTAATCTGACAGCTTGTGGACAATAACTGTCTTTTAGTCTTTTTGTACGTGATGACAAACTCAGCCTGAGGGTAGTAAATGGAAGAGACCTTGTGCTGGGTGGGTGTGGTCCTTAATGATGCTGCTTTATGCAGACATCAGCTGTGGTAGATGTCCTGGATGGTGTGGAGACTGCTACCAGTGATGTCCTCTGTTGTTTGCACCACTCTCTGTAGAGCTTTCTGACTGGTGCAGTTCATGTACCACCCTGTGATGCAGCCTGTCAGCAGGCTCTCAGTGGTGCAGTTATAAATGTTGGTTATGATGATGGTGTTCATATCTAACTCCTTTAGTCTTCATAGGAAGTAGAATCTTAAGTCTGGCTTTCTTGACCACAGTGTCCATTTGTAAAGTCCAGGACAGATCCTCAGTAATGTGAACGCTGAGGAACTTGAAGCTGCTGACCCTCTTCACCTCAGCGTTGTTTATGTTGATGGTGAAGTGCTGACCTCCACTCTGTTTCCTGAAGTCCACTATCATGTCCTTTGTTTTGCTGACATTGAGAGAGGTTATTTTCCTGACACCATCTGATCAGTGATTTCACCTCGTCTCTGTAGACACTCTCATTGTTGTTGGTCATGAGACCCAAGATGGCGGTGTCATCAGCATACTTGAGGATGTCATATGAGCTCTGCTTGGCAGTACAGTTATGTATAGCGTGTACAGGAGTAGACCGAGGACACAGCCCTGAGGTGTACCGGTGCTGAGGACTAGTAGGAGGAGAGGTGACAGTCAATTATCACTGCCTGTGGTCTGTTGGTGAAGAAGTCCAGTATACAGCAGCAGATGGACTTCTCCAGGCCCAGGGTGAGCTTGGAGACCAGTTTGGAGGAGATGATGGTGTTGAATGCTGAGCTCTCACATAGGTGTTTACCTTCTCCAGATGGCTGAGGGAGGTATGAACTGCTCAAGTAATAGCATCATCTGTAGACCTGTATGCAAACTGTAGGGGGTCCAGGGTGTCAGTCTCACAAGCAGCACACTCGCATAGTGGACCAACCAGTTTGACGATGATAAGATGGTTTCTGGAGTCCAAGTCGACTCATCTGAGGCAGCCATGGCCAAAGTGGTTCAAAACATCAAAGTTCATGCGCAGTAATCCAAGTAAAAATCCAACAAAGTGAAGTCATTCCTCTGGTAGTTTCTTTTTGTTTTTGTACACCTTGTTCTAAAAAGACTGCTGGAGTCACGAACATGCAGTCTGACACAAAACAACATGTACACAGACCGTACCCACCTCAAACCTACACACTGAAATGATTCTTCATACACAATAAGCTCACAGTTATCAACAGCATGTGTTTTCTACGGCAGTTAATTCAATCAGAATGTTGACGTGTGTTTAATCCTACTAACAGATATTATAAACTAATAAAATACCAGTGTTAACTCTGACCTGTGAAGCAGGTGAGTACCTGTCGACCCAGGTCTCGTCCACGTTTCTTTGGGTCGTCAGCTGATCAGACTCGCTCGTCCCCCCTTTCTGCCCCCGAACCTTCTTCTCTTTGAGTTTGGACCCCAGAAAATGCTCAGCTTTTCTCCTTCCACATGAAACTATCTGTGTGTCTGACAAATCAGAGAAGGATGGATCCACCCAGCGGTTTACCTGTCCAAAGAGAAATGTCCAAACATCAGATTTAACACAGTCACATTATTACATAAAAAGAACTCCGTGGTCGTCAAACAGTCAAGATGAAATCAATCACAACTACAGAAAATACACTAAAGTCAGCTGTTTTTGCATAAAGTCATACTCTGAGTAGGGGTGTAACAATACGGTCCTCTGGACATTAAAAAAACAAACAAAAAAAAACAAAGCAAATCAACAAAAAAATGTAGAAACGTTTCGTCTCTCATCCGAGAGACTTC